TAGTAGTAGTAGTAGTAGTAGTAGTAGTAGTAGTAGTAGTAGTAGTAGTAGTAAAAATAATAAGAAAAATAATAATAAATAATAAAAGCTGAACCTCTTTGTTTAAAAGTTAATGATTACCTCTAAGTTCCTCAAGGTTGCTACCGACAGTTTCCGTCCGCGCCCAAGGCTTGGCTGCCTGACCTGTGCATAAGCGACCTGTGCCATGGTGCCCACACCGTCTGATGGGCTACTGCTGCACTCTGGTTTGGAAAGCCTGAGGCCCATAATATTTATAAATGTTTCTTTATCTCCTGCACGCATCTTGATAAGCAGACCAAACGCGTGGCCGTGGCGTCATAATGGTAGGTCTTGTGTCCTTGCAGCACTGGAGTGGGAGAGTAGATTACTCTGACGTGAAGTCTGAGAAAGCCTATGTGCCCTTTCTGTGTGCCCAAGACTGAAGGGAGGGAAGAGGGAAGGAGGTGTGGTTGTGATGTTTGATTAGATGCTTGAGTTTGGAGTCGTGCTGCCGCTTCTTCTTAACTTCTTTTTTCCCTGTGTATTCGTTGCTTGTTGGAAGATCAAGATTTTCCGTTCCTTGTGGAAAAATCTAGATTATGTTGTTTATTTCTAGTAAAATATAATGTCAGTATTTGTCAAGGAGTGTTTTGTTTCGACTTGGTAATTTTACTAGACAGGGCTACGTGGGTTACGATGTTCCGTATCTCCTTCTAGGTTTATTCCTTTTAATCTTCTTCTCAGATATCGGTGAAGTTTGATATCCACTTAGTTGTAATCCTTAGTCACGCAAAGGCTCCACTAGACTGATATGAGCACGGCGCTGTCAATTTTTATTTGTCGCTTTCCCGGATCATTCGAAGGAGTGTTGATGTTTTGGTGACTGGTACTGAAAGGATAGAAAGATAACATAATTATAGATTTCAGGGAGGGGATGGGGGTTGTTGTTGTTTTCTAATATGCATATTACCCAACATGTTGTACTGTAATTCAACATTAAGGCCATAGCATGACACATGTTACTTTTTTTATTATCTTCATACAATACAAACACAGGTGATATCTAATAGAAACAGGAAATTAACCAATGAGAACATTTAAGATGAAGGCAAGCCAAGACAGACAGACAGACAGACAGAGACAGAGACTCAGACAGACGGACAGACAGACAGACAGACAGACAGACAGACAGACAGACAGACAGACAGACAGACAGACAGACAGACAAAGGAGGGGGAAAAAGAGTAAATGAATAATAAGGTAAGAAAGGGGAGTCTGTCTCCACAATCAGTGCTAGTGCAGATATGGTAAAGACACTCCAGGACCCAAAAGAAAATAAACAACCCCACATCCTCTGGAAGTCGAACCCGGAATCAGTGTTGTGGAATCTCTGTCCGCCCACCATCTGTGCTTCAGCCGATCGCAGCAATCTATATCATATGTTTAGCTTTAGTAAGAGTAAGAGAAAGTGAACGTAAAAGATTATTGTTGAAAGTAAAGAAAGCAGAATGCATGGCAAAAACAATTTTTAAAGCAGCAAATCCTAGTTGTAATCTCATTAGCAAAGGTGAAAAGATCAAACAAGTCCAACAGTTTAAATATCTAGGATAATTAATGATAACATCTGATTCCAAATGTTCCTCAGAAATAAAACGGAGAATTACAATGGCTAAGGCTGGTTTCAATAAAAATGATCCCAATCCCGAAAATTAGAAACATCTCAATGACTACAAAAATGAAAGTTCTGAAATGCTATGTATGGTCAACACTTCTATATGGCTGTGAATGCTGGACAATCACTAAAGACAGTGAAAATAAAATAGAAGCAACAGAAATGTGGTTTCTTAGGAGACTACTAGGACTGTCGTGGAAGGGACAGAAATCGAATGAGGTAGTATTTGAAGAAGCCCACGTGGGACGCTCACTGTTAAAAACAATTAAGAAACGACAAATGCAGTTTTTGGGACACCTGAATAGACATAAGGGTCTTGAACATCTAGCTCTCACTGGCAAAATTGAAGGCAAACAAGACAGGGGTAGGCCCACAGAAAACTTCTAAGGGAACCAAAACAAATGGGCTACAGGGAAAGATCAGGGAAACCTAGCTTTTTTAAGAGCATCCGAGCGAAGGAATGAATGGAGAACCATGATTGCCTATGTCTGTCGCAGATCTGGGACTGGATGATGATGATACCGTCGGTATTATGACTTTCACAATCACGGTCACTATATCATCCAAGATTGCAACTGAAATGTTTTACGCCCCAGCTGGCATAATTTAGAACATTTAAGGGGCAACCTGCTCTGAGTGGAGTACAACTTGTTGGTAGAAAGAGATACTTGATGAAAATAAAAATTCCACTGCTGGTATCAAGCTCACGACTTGTACGTACAAATCATAATAGCCAGTTGTCATATCCTCTTTATAAAGTAAAGACTAGCCCTAAAGAAATATTTTAAACTGGTAGCCAATAAATATCATACGTGATAAACATGATTTCAGTATTTTACGAGTTTATTTCAAGCATTTGCGTAACTTCGCTTTAATTGCGTGTCCTCTAGCACTACAATGTCATCCCTATCACCTCAGACACTTCCATCTGCCATAATCACAGAGTCACAGCTGACGACAAAACCTTTTGCCAGGCAAACCGACTCCCAGATAAGAGAACAATATTCCAAATCATTCACAGAAGAGAATGCAACCACAAGGATTACTTACATAACAAAGGCTCTAAAAAAAGACATACTTTAAAGACAGTCAGCACTAGTTATTCTCGGACCACCCCCA